ATTATGTTAGAACTCAATAATTATCCTAATTATATTTTAGATTTTTTTATTTAAAATGAGATGTTTATTCTATATTTGATTATGTTTATTTGTATTTGATTATATTTATCTGCAGTTAGTCATACAAATTCAAAATGAAGCTTTAATAAGTTGTATCTACGTACAATTTATTTGTAATTTTAAATTTTAAGTAATATGCATTGATAAACAATACTTCATACATAAAAATTAGTTTTTAATTTTTTTATAAAGAGCAAGTTGATGTTTTAGGTCCTTATGGTTTGTTGATGTTCTTGGTCTCTATGCATTTTTGTTTAATATTGGTTGCTGTCAAAATAAATCCACTAAGTTCAACTAAACAAGGGACATCAAGTCCTTTTACTATTTCTTAAATTTTATACTAATTTGAGGACACATTTATATTAGAATGAAATGTGCAAGTTATTATATGCCTACGACACGTGTCATACATGAATACTATCATGGATTATGTAAACCTATAAGGTCACACACATAGAATACGTTTGTCTCCATTTGTAAAACTCGGATTAAATCAAGTTGATCATGGATATAATTATTCTTGGAGGATAATTATAGAAATACGTGTTGAAAGGTAATTATGATAATTACAACGTTATATGTATAATTATATTAAATCGATGATTATGTTTTCTTCAACCATCATCATATCGATCTACAAAACTGCATCTTTATGTGATTTGTGTGTATGCGAAGAAAGGAGATACATGGGTGAAGGAAGTGGAGGCCGGTGATTTATGGTGGAAGCCGGATGAAAATGGAGCAGGGGATGCAGTTGTTTGAAGCAATGCTCAAAACGTGCAAAACTAAACATGAAAAGATGTTCACGTATGAACACAAAATCATGTTCATAAGAAACATATTCACTTTGAAAAACATGTTCGTTTTGAGATTCTATATTGAAATTGAAATTGAAATCGAAATCTTTAGCAGTGAAACAAAACAATTTTCAGGAAAAAAAATGGTAGACATGTGTGAGAGGGTTTATGTGTGAACCTCGTTCACAAACTATTCATATATGAACTTGTTATACTTATTCATCATATATGAACCTGTTTTACTTAATGTTTATATATGAAACTGTTTGAAATAAGGTACTTGTTCATTTGAATGGTACTGTTACACATAATCTTGAAACGGAAAACATAAAAACTTGATGTTCACTTGTGAAGCAGATTCATAATAAATTTCGCCCATTGTTGAAGAAGAAATGAGTACATGCAAACCAACAATTAGAAAAAAAAGTTAGAATCACTAAAAATTATCAAAATAACCTCCATATTTATCTTTCCTATAATTATGGAATCTCTTAATGTAACCGATTTATTTAAAAAAAAAACTCTAAAAGTATTAGCGTACCCTTATTGAGATTCAAAATCGAATCCTTGAAACCACCAAAAATAGATAGATTTAACTGGCTAATGAGGGTTAACAACAAAATATTTCTCTCTCTCTCTCTCTCTCTCTCTCTCTATATATATATATATATATATAGTATTTTAATATTTATTTACATCAAAGTCTTAATTACAACACAACAAGCATAGAGTACTGTTTTTTGAAGCATAAAAACTGAAAATCTTGATGCAAGCTTTTTGCTAAGCGTTTTAAACCTAGGCCACCATAAAAAATGGGTGTTTCATAGGTTTGCTTTATTCCCTCAGTCCTCTTCTTCCTTATTTTTGATGTATCACATAGAACATACCCTTAATGTGTAACACGGTAACATCTCGTATATATATATATATATACATATAGGGGCCTAATCAAATGAGAACTGATTAATTTGTGGTAACTGTGAGTTCTAATCTCAACCATAAATCAACGGATAAATTAAAAAATTAATAATTATGGTAGTTTGAGTTAAAATTATAATTAGAGGGCATATTAGGTATTTTTTGAAAACTCATTTCTCCTCTCTCATCTCTCCCACCTCTAATCTCTGGCCTCCGGTGAAATCGGTATCACAACATATCACGATGGGTATCACATTGTGTATTACAATAGGTATCACATTGTGTATCTTTATTTTTAAGGTTTGAGTTGATATCATTGTTGGTATCATAATGGTATCACAATATATCACAATGGGTATCACATTGTGTATCTTTGTGATTACTTGGTACCTGTCGGATTAATATTCACCGGAGGCCGGAGATTGGAGGTCGGAGAGATGAGAGAGGAGAGAGGAGTTTTTTAAAAATACCTAAAAAGCCCTCTAATTATAATTTTAACTCAAACTACCATAATTATTAATTTCTTAATTTATCCGTTGATTTGTGGTTGAGATTGGATCTCACAGTTACCACAAACTAATCAGTTCTCCCTTGAATGGGCCCCTACACACACACACACATATATATATATATATATATACATATATAGAGAGAGAGAGTGAATCTTTTGTTAACCAAACGAATGGTGTTAACTACAAGTATTGGAGGTTCAAATAAAAATGTTATATATTGTAAGAAGATAATTAAGAACGAAATATTCATACATAAATCATTTAAAAAATCTATTTAAAGATTCATATTTGAATTGATGTGACAGATTATTCACGAATTTATATATATATATAGAGAGAGAGAGAGAAAGTGAATTAGAAAAAAGTGGTTAAAGGTAAATTATACGCCATCTTAGGTCATGCAATCTGGGCTGCCCCCATCCTAACAGCACATAATTACTCAAAAGAACTTAGTTTCTTGATCTCTCTCTCTTTCTTTCATGCATCAGCTACATTTCACCTACCCACACAAACATCTGCTTAACTCTCCATATAAAATCAAACCCTACTTTCCCAAACCCTAATCATTCCTTTCAATTTGCTTCATTTTCTGTTCATGAGATCGTAACATATTTGAAGATGATGAACATGATCAGGTGGGTATCTTCTTGTTTGTTAACCATTCCTATCAAAAAAAAAACAAGATACATATACATATACATATAACCCCAGCTCACCTGCTTTTGGTGCTTTCTACTTTGTATCTTCTTTCATCTCTTTTGGATTAACTACCTTCAATTCCCTACATTTGTTTCAGTCAAAACAGGATATCATAACATCATCCAAGTGATCATACAAGTTTCCTAAGCGGTACGTATGTTCATGCTTAAATTTTCCATCTTCAATTAATCAACATTGTTAACCTAATCTAATTATATATATATATATATATATATATATATAGAGAGAGAGAGAGAGAGAGAAAATCCTTTAGATTCATTCCTACTTGTACAAAACGATGGTTTTCTTGAGCTTCTGTGTGAAGTAGATGAAGAATTCACATAGTTAAGTTCAGTAGTGGTGAAACTAAAAACGTACTTTTGTTGAATTCAAGATCCATATTTGATTGTATTACAATAAAACTTTAGGGTTTCTTGGTTTACAATGTATTCTATAATTAAAGATTCATAAATTTGATTTGCTAACACATGAATCCAAATTGCACTTGATTTTGTAAGCTTGATTATATGATTTGGGGGGGTTCATTTACATATAAAATGTTACAAAATCGAATTAACAATTTGTTGTTTTTGTGTTTTTAGTTTTTGGTAGCTATGGAGGGTGTCCAAGAAATGATGGAAAGACTAAGATCGATAGTGGGTCCTGAGAGTTGGGATTATTGTGTGCTTTGGAAACCAAGTAAAGATCAAAGGTACGTAAATATTACTGTAATTATGATTGATCCAAAGGTGGAAATCCCTCCATAACCTGATTTTATTATCAGGGTGTGTCTGTATATACTTGATACATATATAAAGAAATTGTATGTATTTATAGGTGGATAGAATGGGTGGATTGCTGTTGTTCTGGGAGCTGTGGTGGTGGAGAGGATGATGAGGGTGGTGGTGAAATGGTGTTTGAATGCAAAGATGTGCTGTTTCAACACCCAACCAGCCATGCTTGCCACCTGCTTTCCCTCTTACCTTCTTCCATGCCTTTTGATTCTACTGGGTATGTACTTCAATTCATTACCTTCCATCTCTTAATTAATGGCATCATTAAGTAGTTGTTTGTTTACCTCTTAATAGTTCCATTAAGAGGCAACCTCTGAATCGTTAAGAGGTGAATCTTGTTTGGCAAAATAAAAGTTTGTCTCTTAATGGTTCTAAAACCCTCTGAATGATTTTGTATCATGGATCTCCTTTAATCATTAAAAGCCCTAATTTCATTGTATACAATTACCAAACAATTATATTTCATTTTACACTATATCATAAGAGCATTTTAATCATTCTGACCACTTAATCATTCAACAATTACCAAACAACGTCTAAGTCTGGTTTTATTAATTGGTACTCAGAACATATGGACAAACCATGATATCTAATCAGCCAAGATGGCTAAACTTTTCCACTTCTGACTTCTCTGATGATCAGGTAATTAAATCACTTCTTTTTAATTATTTAATTAATTATTCAAATAATTTTATATAAAATACTATAATTTGAGTACTGGTTTTGCAGGAAAATCTTGGGACTAAAGCTTTGGTTCCTGTTCCAATTGGACTTGTAGAACTCTTCGTATCTAAACAAGTAATTATATTAATATTTCCATTAACATTCCTAGTTAATGATGTTTATTTGTTTTAGTTAATGATGTTTGTTTGTTTGTATGTAGATATCTGAAGACGAAAGCATAATCAATTTCGTGACGGCTGTGTTTAACATGCCGCCGATGGACCATCATCCAATGTTGAATGCCAACAATAATAATATTAACATGGAGTCGAGCTTTTCGGTAAACATGGATGGTTTAGACGATGGAGAATCCAAGGATTACTTGGTACTCGAAAAAGATCCTCATTTCCAACCACCCATTTCTCCGGCTACCATGTTAGAAAACCTCAATCTCACAACCCCCCATAATATTAATAATAACGCCAACACCATCTCATCTGATCTTCATCCTATGAACTTCTTACAACACTTTAATTACAGTACTGACCATCACCATGACAGAAACACCGACAATACCAACATCATGTTCATCAACCATGATGATCCTTTTGATCCTAATTCACAAGACATTAATGTCGGATTTGACCATGAGATCGATATGGCATTGCAAGGCCAAATTATGAACCAAAAGCAGCAGCCACATCTCATGGATCCCCCTTTAGAGAATAATAATAATATTGCCCCAAAGAAGCAAGGGAACATTAATAATAATAATGACATCAACCGTTCAGACTCCGTTTCTGATTGTAGCGATCAGAATGACGAAGAAGACGATCCTAAATGTCGAAGGAGAAACGGCAAGCCACAATCCAAGAACCTCGTGGCAGAGCGTAAGAGACGAAAGAAGCTCAATGATCGCCTTTATACTCTTCGTTCTTTAGTACCAAAAATCACCAAGGTATAGCAACAAACATATAACTAGCTATCAGTTCCGTGTTTCTAGCTAGTCGATATAACATATGGTTCGATTTTGGTAGTTGGATAGAGCCTCGATTCTAAAGGACGCAATCGAGTATGTGATGGAGTTGAAAAGGCAAGTGGAAGAGCTTCAAAACGAGTTGGAAGAGAACTCGGACGATGAAGGTACTACCAATAACCAAAGCACCATCGTTGAACAAGAGGTGATGCATGCCAATGGGAGTAACCGAAAGCGTAGATATAGCAATGGCCATGGGATGTTGGTCAATGGGCCTCCATTGGAAGCTTATTCAGGCATCGGTACCATTGAAGTCTCGAAACATAATCAAGATAGCGAAGATGCTAATGAAAAAGGCCAACAAATGGAGGTAAAACTAGTGTTCCCAGCTATCAAATTCAAATAGATTAGGGAGGGAACTTCTCTAACGTACCTTCTCTATTCTTGTTTACATAGCCACAAGTGGAAGTGGTGTCGTTAGATGGAAACGAATTCTTCGTGAAGGTATTCTGCGAGCACAAAATGGGAGGATTCGTGAGGTTGATGGAGGCCTTCAACTCTCTAGGACTGGAATTGACAAATGTCAATGTTACAAGCTTCAGATGTTTGGTTTTGAATGTCTTCAAAGTTGAGGTGATGCACAAAAAAAGCCACTTAAAATTGACCATTTTTGTGTCCCAAAATCGGGTTGTAACCAAATAGAACCTACAAAACAAAATGCAAATGACTAAAACGAATTGTGAAATGAGAGTTTAGTTTACTACTAACCTTGCGTGTTTGCTGTAGCAGAGGAAGGATAGCGAAATGGTGCAAGCTGACCATGTTAGGGAGTCACTGCTGGAGATAACAAGAAACCCATCAAAGGGGTGGCCTGAAACATCCACAAAAGCACCAGAAAATGGGCATGGGATCATGGATCACCACCACCACCACCATCACAATCACCACCATAACCACCATCCTCACCTCCATAACCACCAACCAAAGCCTCAGTACCACTACAATGCAATTTATCAAGTCCTTAACTAAGCTCTCTTTAAGTGTTGATAACATTGAAACAAGATTGAGGCCCTTTCAACTTCATTCATCTTAATTAGCATCAATGTTTTAGCTTCATATGGTCTGCTGTAGCCTGTAAGAATAACTACATGCCTTTCTTTCTATCAATAAATTGCACTTTTCTACTGTCTGCATATATGTGTGAATTTGTGGTCACTAATTTGGGGATGAGATTAATGTCGCATAGGATGTGCATGCTGACCACACCATTGAAGAACTACAAGCCCAAAGCATGGGGATCAAGCAAGAAGCAAAAAGCATGTCTGCTTCCTAGTTCACATCCTCTAAATCACAAAGAAGTTGATGAAAAAAGATAGATAGGTTTTCAATCATTTTTCTTATCATTTCGTTGCACAAGAACTATTGTTCTTATAAAAAATGATCAAGTTTGCAATTTCTTCCCTTTTTAACCTATAATAAAAAAAAACGTAATGATTGTTTTGCATACAATCGACGTGTTTGATAGTTGTGAGTGCAAGAAACTGCAAAATTTGATGGTGTTTGCATTTTCACAAGTGCGCTCCTTATTTTCAAACTAAATAGCAAATATAATGATAAAATCTAATTCACTCTTCTGAAACAAGCAATCTGGGAAGCGCACATTTTACTGACGTTTACCACAATTAACTAAATAAACTTTGTATACACCACCAAAAACAGAGCATGTAAGGGGATGCCAGCTTAAAAAACTAGGTGGGTTGTGCTGGATTCTGTTTATGGGAATGAGTATGATGAAAAAAATGGAATATCAGGGAATGAAAAGTCACTCCCCCAATTAACTAGGGTATGAATGATTACCCATTTTTAAGCATTCACTAATTGCATTTAAAAATAACCAAGCACCATCATTCACCCCCATTCCTCACCCCCTGGTACCCCAACCAAGCACCCCCTAGATCTCTAATTTCTTGAACGGCAGAATACCCGTTTCATAACTCAGAAAGCCAACAGAAATAGATTTGGAGCTATTAAGGCAGGGGCTGGTCCGAGAATCATCCCCACAGAAGCACAAAATATTAAAATAGAAAGAGGAGAATTATAGGCCCAGTTATGGTAACACATCCCTGCATACCATCCTATACTAGTGCAAGTCCTTATAAGTTTAATATGAAGAACTGACAATTAGATCACCTAAGTACCATGATAGATGCAACAATTTCCTCTTCAGAATGTCCGAAAAGAAGCAACATTTCCCTTTATGGCATGTGCCAATCTAAAAATTTTCGCTTTACATGCCAGTAATCAATACAAATTTTTTGGTGAAGATTGAGATTATTTTTTATATTTGACTAAAATTCAAACAGTTCTCTTAAACTACGCATCCGGTCAAATATTACATGTATTTGGGATCCAGGTATAGCTTCTAAAGCAAGTTTGCGGAAGAAGCAAGGCTGGATGGAGAAAAGCAATATGTCCAACATCCTTAGGAGGCACGTCCAACATGGCTCCTTTGTTTCAATATGTAATCTGCTATAATATGGTATCCTGTTCTACGGGGGAAAGCTAGACAGCTTTTTTCTCATGTATTGTAACATGTGGTGGTATCTCATTATAGGCAAAGAAGAGCCTAGAAGAGAAAGATGATAAACGTTAGATATATTTGGCATCAATTTAGGCTTTCAAGATGATTTGAAGTGATCCAATTCTGTTTGACTTAATCTTGTTTCTTTTTTATTCTACCATGACGTATTCTATATACATGAGACTTCCCCTTGTAATAAGATATAACATAAAAACCTGAATAATTGCCACAACAAATAATTATCAGATCCTATCATTTATCTACTGCGGGATAAGGACGGTTCACACTATACGCAACCCTGTATCATAAAGACGAGTGGTGCCACATTAACCAACAGTACACAGTTCTCTTCCCTTATTTTCTTTGCAAACGTAAACACTTAGAACATCCCTAATCAAACTCTTAATAATATATTCAGGTCCTGCAACACTTTGGATTATGATATATTTTATAAACTAAACTTATTGCGAATTCAAAGCCCGTAAACAAAGACAACCAGGTTCTCTAATAAACTACGGTAAATCATGTCATGGGCAACAACTTCATTACAAGACTGATGTCTGATCCTTAAGACTATACAAGGCACTCCTCAAAACCTAATCTTATTATTAGGTACAAGTTGACAAATATCTATCATTTCCGTAATCAACATATCAATAACGTGTAATAATTGTTCATCCGACCACAGAAAATGTATATCCAAAACATCATAATGCATGTCAGCATCAAATCTAACATCCAACTAAGTACTAAATCAATTCTAATTAAAAAAACTAGAAAAAAATGCAGCCTAACGTATGAATAACGAAAAACTAGAAACTGATAAGTTTTTCAAGATATATTACCATATTTGCCAACATGCATATTACTTTTCCTTTCTTTTAGCAAACATAGAAACTTGCATTGTTCATCAACATCTCAGCTAGATATTAAAGCTCCACTGTACTTTGAAATACAAGACAGCTTAATGAAAGAAGCTCAAAACCTAACCTTTTTCGCAAGCTTCGGGCTTGCTTTGCCCACTAACCTTTGTATAGTTACATAAAAGCGTATAATTAACAGAACTGAATTTCAATACTTTAAGCACTCCTCAAACCTGATGTTATCACAAGCTATAGGCTTGTTCACCCACTAACCTTCATATGGTTCCTTAAGGCCTAATCAACATATAAGTCAAACTACGGTATTTCATTAACTGGAATCATGTAAAGCTATCAGCTTACAATAAGCTTTCGAAATGGATCCTGAGTGGGACGATTTTTGGTGGTTGATGTTCCGTGTTCGACAATCAAGTGCTCTTTTAAGGGTGACCATGGTGCACCAAGGCTCCCCATGTCTATAGTTGCGTTGTAGTAAGCAAAAAGAATATTTCTATGATCAAAACCCAGGTCAAATTGAAGTAACTTGTTGTAAAAGCAACTTTTATCCAGTTGCACAGAAAGAATCAAACGCTGGGTCCAAATTAAGGAAATCAAGTAGTATCGACTAATCAAGTCGGAAGAGTCATCATAGAGATCTTTTACAAAACATCAACTTTGTCATCCAACAAAACTCCATATCTTTTTCTAACAACAGCAATTCACAACACTCTATTTTTAGTAATAAAGCACCTATTTTTATTAGAGATGAAAAGAAATGATCATACACCGCTTTTAATTATCTGTCTCCTTGCCAAAAACCTAGCTATCGAAGGAGTGAGAGCAATGGTGATCGGAACCCTAACCGGGAAGAGAGCCTTATTACATAGCACAGCCAATGCCAGTGCACCACCGCTCGAAGCCGCTAGCTCAGCCGTCCGATTCCTCGGCTTCACTTCCGGATTTGATTGAGGAATATTTGAAGCTTCCCCTTCTACTTCTTCTTTTAGTCCACCCATACCGACTTTTTCTAGGATCGATTCAAGCTGTTTGAAACGAACCTTTTCTAGAGCAGATTCAACATCGACGTTGTTCTTGATGGCAACGTACAACCCGGAGATGCTTGCGGCAGAGACGGAAAAGTGTACTCCGAGAGCAACCTTGCCGTACTTCTTCAATAGCTCACGGAATCGACCTCCAGCCATTGATTAAAATTTTAGGGTTTGTGACAGGGTTTTAGGTGTCGGAAACGAAGAAAATTCGTTTGACAGGCGCCGCCGATGGTGGACTTTTCTGTAATATTAATGGGCCGGGCTTTATCCGTCTAAAGGAATGAAAAGGCCCAATTGCCCAACATGGCTCCGTGGATCCTGAGTCATCCACCCAATAATCATTGTCATTACCTTTACGGCTTTACCTGTCATAAACGTCTTTTAAGCGTAAACTTCTTACCCGAACTTCCCGTTTCTGAAAAGTGCTTCAAAAAAGACTCATATTGTTCGTTGGTTAGTCCGGGAATGGAAGAGCTGCATCCAGGTTCGATGAAGGCGGCTTTCGGTTTTGTTTCTTCACGTTTCTTGTTTCCCAGCCACCATTTTGGATAGCCTATCCGTTTGAAGCAACTGTCTCATGAATGCCCATCATTTCCACAGAAGGTGCAATGCTCGACCATGTCAACCCGTTTGGCATCCTTTTGAGTCGGTTTGTCACGCTTTTGGTTCTAGTTTCCTTCTCGTCGTATCGATACAAAAGCCTTGAAAGCAGCAGCTTCTGTAGCCAGCTTCTTATCTACTGATATAGCTCTCTGGCGTTCGTCCCCAGCCACGAGGTGGTATGCATTCCCATGGATCTATACAGGGGTTTGACGGATTCACGGCGAGTATTTGGGTTTTGATCATGGAAAAGTGCCTATCAAGACCCATGAGGAACTCATAGAGTCTTTCTTTCTCTCTCAGCCCACTTACCTTTTTGCCRATGTCGCATGTACAACCGTTGCAGGAACACTTGGGCACCGGCAACACAGACCCAATCTCATCCCAAAGGCTGCACAACTTGATGTAGTAGACTGAAATGGTGGCTCCATTCTGATGTGTCATCGATAGGGTTTGTTTCAATTTGTATGCCCTCGCCGTGCTTTCTTTTCCAAAACGCTCCTTTAGATCGGTCCAGATCTCGAAAGCGGTGTTGGCATACTTTACGCTGGATCTTATCTTTTTCTCCATCGTAGTCGTTAGCCAACCTTTCACCATGGCATCACACCGCATCCAAAGCATATAGTCAGTTAAATCCTTCTCTGGTTTCTTGATTGACCCATCAATGAAACCCACCTTGTTTTTGGCGAAGAGAAAAAATTCATGATCTTCTAAGACCAATCCATATAATTGTTGTTGGTAAGAGTTTAGTTGACATGCATCTGTTTCGGATAATCCGATGCATGAATATACAGCGGGGAGTTCACGTCTGGTCCGCCTTCGTTTTTCTTTCCAGCCGAACCTTCAGTGCCGCTGGCGCTGGTCATGATTGTCGAACGGCTAGGGTTTTGTGCATTTGGTTAACCTTCTCTGATACCATACAGGAATTAAGAAGAAAAAAAATATGGAAGTCCCTAAAGTTAAGGCACAAGGTAAGGAAAGATAACACGGAAATTATTCTATTCCAATATGTATTGCAATGAAAAACCAACAAATACAATGGCTTATATATATTGCAATGAAAAACCAAGAAATATCACTCATTTTAGTCAAATATTTTGTTGTCATCAATTATATCGTTCCCTAGTTTTTACCATCATGTTTCATCCAAAGGCTGTAATGAAACTTTGGCTCTCTTTTTGAAAACCCAAACTGACCAGTTTACCCTCCATCCGGTAAGAAAAACCCGTGAGCCAATGCTTCAACGGTGCGACCCCGAGAGCAGTTCAACAGTTAACCATCGACCCACTAAGTGTAAGAGTACTGTTTTTCTACCATCTCTTTGAATCCAATATGAATCGAACCATACAATGCAGAAATCAACTCCAAAAAACCCCTGCTTTATTTCAAAAAACAGAGATTACTACTTCCAGCCCACTTGAATCTCCATCTTTCTGTATTGGCACTCAATAAAGATAGAAAGAAATTAGGAAATCCCAGTTCTAACAAGCAAAATTGTGGGCAACAAACATCAATCAAATCTACCCACAAGAAGAAAAAATCACTTCTTGATCACCTTAACCAAATCCAACTATTCTTCTAAAATGAATTGTGTCTCAGCAAGTGGCTTCGAACACAATCTAATGTACAACAAATCACTACAAATTACCAACAAGAATCTTTCAACAACAACACACACAATCAAGAACCTGTGTCATCTGCTGCCACCTTCTTGCTGGGAACCCTCATGGTTGCTAACAAGATCTCGATACATCTTTAATGAAGCTTTTGCGAATTCTATTGAAGCCTCAAAAACCCGACAAAACCCTGTTTGGAATCCATTTAATGTGATCCTCTGTGTTTCTTGCATACAGCTTTGATGTTTTCCTCTCTCTTGTTCCACCTTCGCTCTCAACTCATCTAAATAATCTTTCCTTTCTTTCAAATAATCTGCTCGGTGGTCGACTTCCAGTTCACAGAGCTCAAGGTTTGGGATCTTTGTTTCGAAAACTCGGTTTTCTGTCTTCTGGAAAGCAAGAATCTTGCGATCGAGTTCTTTGGACAAGCTGTCAACTTTTCTCTTTTGCTCTTGTTCCTTTCCTTGTTGAGTCCACAGAGAGTGTAAATCTTTTGAGAAGCTTTTCATGGCAAAATAAACCGATTTGTCTGGCAACTTATCCATAAAATTAAACCAATCTTGGCAAATCATGAGCAATGGGGGACCGTTCATTGTCTGAAAAGGTTGAGAAGTATTCCTACTTTTTGAATATAATTCAACTTCAGGGACTATGAACTTTGATAACCAACTGTAAAGAGCTCCGACGTATTGTTTTTGTGCTGTGAGATACTCTCGAAAACATGTCCGCCAGTTCTGAAGCTCAGTCTGGAGCTGCAGTGTAGCGAGACGATGAGTGTTGTTTGAGAATTTCCCATATGTTGGACAGGTAAACAGTTTGACCTCAAACATGATCTTGTTTTGAATTTCATGTGATTCCAACATAACCTGCCACATGGTCATCATACTGCACAAGATACATATACATATATCACTTTTATGTCATATAGTACAACCATTTAAAGCATGAGTCCGCTGAATTGTACAAGCAATTGTAGCAGTCAGTATTTGGTACTTACCCATGTAAAAGTTCAATGATTTGAGGCTGCAGTTCTTCATCTCTGAGTTTATCGATCCTTTCCGAGATTGATTCGGCACTACGAATCGCAACCAAGATCCGGCTGTACAAGTCCTTAACTGCAGCCCTTGTTTTGTCGATCGTGACTCCATCGTCTCCCTTCACATCTTGATTCCTCAATTGGCTGCATTTTCTTTCGTACAGTTTCCGAGTATTATCTCCAGCCTAAGAATTAGGCAAATGTCTCAACTTCTTGAAGCAAAAACACATACTCATCTCATAAAAATTGCAACATTTGACTTACGTGTTTGACTATTAGCTAAGGTTGTTTGGTTGGTTTTCCATTTAGTTCTGTATAAATAAAGCTGTTTGTGCGAATTAATCTGTCTATATAAATTGGGAAAGTTTTTATCTGGAAGGGTTTTCTAATCGATAGAAGAAGTGTGTTTATAATTGGGAAGGGCATGCTCGTAAAAAACTGTACTTTCTGCATAAAGCTCCCCCCTAGAAGCTTGTCAAATAAGCCACTTTCTATATCAATAAGCCACTACCAAACAATCATTTATAGCTGACTGAATAAGCCATGAGTCTCATTAAGCTGCTAACAAACAGACCCTTTAAATACTCATTGGTAAAAGAGGGCAGACAAAGGGGGGTTAAGATGGCAGGCGTTACCTTAACTTCTTCATATAGCTTCTTTTCCCAAGCATAGAGTCTTCCTAATGTTAAGGAATGGCTTCCTGAATTCATCCCTCCTCCGTCATCAAACAGATCATTATTAAACTCCGTCCACGTGGAAGCTGTTTTAGAGTTCGATGCTACAAGACTCTTAGATGTAGTTGATCGATAAGATGTTGACCTTAGCGAGATTGCTTGAATGAGTTTAGTTGAGTTTTCTGCATGATTACAAGACAACTTTAGAAACACCAAACAAGATGAGGCCAGTAGCAGGAAGGGAATGCAAGGCAAGAATGATTGATATACCAAAAATACCCTTTCATAAAGACATAAAATGATCATTTAATCTGTACTTAACAAGGGATTGTTGCAATTTCATGGGATTATGGATCCATTCACTTTTCCCCACAAAATGAAAATGGATGAATGCAAAATTAGCTACACCAACACTCATTAAGTACCCTTTTTGGTCTTTTTACTCCCTTTTTGGTCTTTTACACCTTTGTCCTGAAGAGAAAATGGCATAAACCACAAGCTTCATCAGAGGTAAAAAAATTTACCACATAAGTCAAGAATCAAGTTGATGAAGAAATGTCTCTACATATCTGATTGGAATTCAACCATTTCATGTGTGAGATGACTAAAAAGTCCCCACCTTTTAACATTTGACTTTTGATACTCAAACCAAGCACCTCTCAAATTAGAATTCAATACTCTAGCCCAAAAAGTTGTATAGACAGTGGAGTCTTTGTCATATGATTTAAATCATGCCAAAATAAGATAAATCATATATGTTGTTAAAAAGTTTATTTAAGCTGTGACCTTTTTTGAGGATAAAAATGGCATAAAACACGAAGCTTCATCACATAAGAAAACAAATCAAGTTATCAAGTAATCTGTAGAATTTGATTGAGAACCAATAGTGTGCATGTATGATGTGAAAAAAAAAGACCAAAAAGCCCCAACCTTTTATTTCCTCCAAACCAGATTGTAACTGGATCCTGTTAGATTCCAACATCTTGGATACGCCTTTCCCAGAATCACAAATCCTGATAAAATAGTCTTCAATGTCTTTCAATACTTCCAACAACTCTCTCCCTCTTTCAGGTGTATCAATGACAGTTAAACCCTTTTGTGGTTCACCCTGGCTCACATTAGCACAACCCACTTCAACCCCACAACCTTCCTCTTGCTTGCCACACTCCTTCTCTTCACTTCTCACCACCTTGGTTTTCACTTCTTCCACTCTCTCCACTTCTTCTTCTAACTCTGGTATTCCTTCTTCTTCCCTAACTACTCTCAAATCATCATCAGAATTACGATTGTACCCACTCATAACCTCTGGCCTCATGGTGACAAAAGGGTCAAAGAAATCCCACCCAAACTCCCTCTGTGGTGATGGCATTGATGGAATAGTCGAAGCTGGATGTGGCATTGGCATTGGCATTTGCATTTGCATTCCCATTCCCATATAGAAATACCCACAACTCTCTTCCTGCTGTCTTTCTCTCTCTCTGTCTACCTCTCTCTCTCTTTTAAACTTGTCTTCTTTCTCTTCATCTTCTTCTGAACATGTTGAAGAAGAGGAACAAGAACATGAACCACATGCAATGGGATCTTTTTTTGTTGGTTCTTCAGAAGGGTTTTGTTGAAGAAATAAAGGGTTTGAGACAATCTTGTTTTCTTTTGGGGGAGATGGTGGTGGAAGAGTGATGAGAAATGGTGAAGAAGCTGAAGAATATCTATCTACAAATAGGTCTATAGCTTTTGAGACCCCATAAACTGATTGACAATACCTAAAATGAGCCTCTGCAAGTGCATACCTTCTGTCTACAGCTAACTTCAAGAAATGCTTCCTCTCTCTGCAAATAGTCACCACCTCCTCTTCTTCTTCTAACTTTGTAGCAACACAACCCATAATGCACCCAAAAAAACAAGTATAAAGAATGAGTTTTGAAAGGAATCAGTGGATGGTTTTACAGACTTTAGAAGAAAATAATCCTTTGGGGGGTTTTCATAGAGGAAAAACCAAAGGGTTCAAGAAAGTGTAGATTTTTAAAAGAGAGTGAGAGTTGAAACAAACCCATTTTTATTTTGAAGAATGGAGCGAGTTTTAGCTAACAAGATTCTTGTTTGATAAACCCTAATAGAAACGCATGCAGCCATTATCATGTTCTGAAGAAACAATGGTGGAGCTGGAGGTGGGTTACAGAGAAAGAGAGAAAGGAAATGGTAAAGTTAGGTTTATTTTTCTCCAGAAAATGGCTAAGAGTGTGTCTGAATGCACTCCTTTCTTAGTTCCCAGAGCTAAAATCTCCAAATGCAGAATACTAAAGCTGAACTGAGTTGTACACTATACAGTAGGAGCTTGTACATATTGCACATGGAGTTATAAGATTATCTTGGATTTGAAAAAGAGTTCAAAAATTTGGATTATATTATGTTTATATTGCAATAAGAACAAACAGGTGCTAAATGGAATTTAGCTGCTGAATGAAAAAAAAAACTGTGTTTTATTTTATGAATCCTTTTTCATATTTTATTTCACATTTAAAAGGTTTTTGGGATTTTTTATAAAAACAATTTATTACCAGTAATAAGTATTTTTGAGTGTTTTGATAAATAACTTATACCGGTGTCAAATCGGTAATAAGGAGTTTTTAAAAAAGTTTAACTCTTCTGACTTATAATAAGTTGATAAATGCTTTTATAGAAAAATATAAGTTGTTTCAAATAAGTAATCCGAAACACACCTATATACAATGGTTTTTATTATAATATTTCAATGGCAGAAGAGAAGGTTTGTTATAATTAATTTCAGGATGTATCTTATGGTAGGTCTGAGATTAATCAATTGGATTGTATGTTATGCAATGGTAGTTGTACATCATATCATGTCAGTTGATATAAATTTGTGTTGGTAAAGTAGTGTAAAATATATGCAAGTGAGAAGAGGGTGGGGGGCCAGAATCCAAGGTTTGTAAGATAAAGCTGGAGGGGCTCGAGGGCCTCTTGCTACGTGCTTTGCTAACAATTAATAATTCATTACTAATTAACTATCTTTTTTTTAAAAGACAATAAGTAAGTGATAATGTTGTATTTTATCGATTTACGTTGATTAAATTAATTATTCGGTCCGTCAAAAACACCCGATTATTTCAATGCTTTTAGATTAAATGAAGAGTGATCCACAATACCGTCTTCCAAAGGTGACTCTTAGAGCTCGAAGCAGTAAAAAAGTCTGATCCATTCAACAAATCATCAAAGGAAAATGAAGGGGTCAAGTTCCGACCCCACCATTTGAAAACATTGTTCTACGAGCAAAAGCTAGAGTGACATGAGAAGAAGCAGTGATCGATAGTTTCTTCGATGTTACCGCAACAAGGGCAAAGGGTGGATTGATGTCAACCCCTTTGTCATGAAGAATCTTTCACACAGGGATCATTCCGCATTTAAGACGTCAGAAAAAATATGCAAACCTTCTAAGGTGACTCCCCAGTTTTCCCAAGCCACCAAAACCATCTATTCCTATCGTTTAGCCTAAAAACGGTGTAACCACGGGACCACTTCAACTCCTCCAACTCACCATTTATCCACTTCCACGAACCAGACCAACGATTATCCACTTTCACCACCATGTTGCCAACCAAAGCTACTTTATCAAATTCTAACCTATTAAGCCTCGGGAATCTCTCACAAATCCTATAATTACCCAACCGTTTGTCCATTCAAAAGAGAGTGTCCTCACTGTCACCAATCCTTTTCTCGAATAATTTACAATCACGATCCCCTTTTCTAGGTCCTTACCCACTCGCATAATCCCTCCCCAAGCACTCACTGAGCCGACCATCAAATTCCCTACACCTCTTAGTCCCCCATCATCCCTATATATGTTTCTATTTGCTCGAATCCACAACTCATCTTCACCTAACATAAACTGTCACCACCACTTTCCCAAAAGAGACTAATGAAAACGCTCGAAGACGACCAACCTTAATTAAATATACCACACCTCTTTTAATGAATTACATAAATCATCCTTTCATTGTTATACCGACAAGAATAGATGCTACACTTTATCTTCTTTTAACCCTTAATCAAACTAATTTTTAAAAACCAGAGTTCATTTGAAGTTAAATCAAACAAACCTAAATGAAACCCAACTTTGAAACCCAAATCGAAATATGAAGCCTAAATGAACCCTAACTCTACAACTTAAGTTGAAATATAAAATCTTAAACAATGGTGGTGAAGGCGACGTCGAAGATGATTAGCAGTTGGCCAGGTGGGTTTTGAAAGGTTTTAGAGACGAAGATGTAAGTTGAAGATGGAGATGAGGCCAGAGGAAATGGTGGTTGGCAAAGTGCAAAGCAATGGATCACTGTTTTGCAAAGTGCTCTTTGATCTAGGAGTTGTGGAGCAAAATTCTAAAATGGTGGGGTTTCGACCCACAGGTTATTGCTTCAGTTTTGAATGTTTGGACTTTATCCAAGTTGTTTTCTGCATCGTCTCCGGTGTCCCTTTACTCGATTTGGAGCTCTCATGATAAGCTTGTGTTTGACAATCTTCGTGGTGCTGGTGAATTGTTGATCAATAGGATATTTTGTTTTTAAAGCATTTTGTGAATTTGGAGACTTGAGACCATCTTGTTTTCTTGAGATTCATGAGACCAATTTTTTACATTTAAAATTTCATAGAAAAACGATGTGAAGGTAAGAGATTTGAGATCACATGACACCAATATATTTTTGTGAGATTCATAAGACCATTTTTTTATATTTAAAACTTCACAATATTTTACTGTAAAATTTCAAATATAAAAAAAATATTTTTTCCAGTTACGATGAGAGTATGAGAATCGGTTAAATATCTGTATTCGTCACCCGTATGGTCGTCATGCCACGCATCCACGTGGCATACAACAATTGTGTATTATTTTTAAATGGAAAAAAGGTTGTGTCAGAGTGCAGTAAAGTAAAGCAAAAAGGACCTGTGACCTGTGATAAAAAAGAGGAGTCAAACTTCTTATTTTCATTCTCACTCCTCTTATTACTTATTTTTTACAATTCTCACCCCTACAGTTTTCATCTCATCATACATACACACACACACAAAAAAACATTATAATACTATTATTTTTTTAAATAAATTTACTTCCATTTATAAAAAGTGGTCTCTCATTGCAATCCGAATTCTATATCTATAAAACAACATAACTGCAAAAAATGGGGTGAAATGATAAAAACAAAGTTGAAAGTGACTTAAGACGATCGATTCTTTTGCACCTGTTACAACAGAATAAGGAAAGTTGCGATTTCGTCTTATTCTCTGAATCTTTCTTATATAATGGCATTGGTAGGTCCAGAAATTTTTCTGGATGGTGGTATGATTTGACTATAAAAACAAACCTATTGAAATAATTCACCTGGATATTCAATCCACTATGCACGTCGATTAATCTTAGGACGATCACCTGCTTTACAAATAACCCAGAGTCACCGCATTTGATAAGGTGTATGTATAATTTGTTTTTAATATCATAAAATAAGAAATGAGTGTTTAAGTAAATTAGTGATTATGATGATCATAAAATAATTGATAATATAAATTAGGGAAAATAAAGGAAAGGGTGGCAGGGATTTATGTTGGATGGTGGGAATATTTGTTTGACTGACACTCTGAACCACTCACCAAATGCTCTGAAAAGCCTCAACTCATCTAAATTATTAACTAACAAATGCTTCTTTAAGGGGTGGCTAATGACATCCTTATTATATGCTAATGTCATCTTTAAATAGTCTTTAATTATTTATGTTTTATAATTTTTTGTGTTTTTTTGTTTTTTTTTGTGATTATTACTTTTTATTTTATTATTAATTAAAGAAAATTTTAATTAATATATATTATTTATTTTATTTTCTGTT